GAAGGAGAAGATTATTTGACCTGTAATGATTATGGCGAATCCCCTGAGAGAGCTGACAGGTCACCTAAATAGGGTCCCCTCAGGACATGGCTTTTCGTACAGAAAAATGGCATCCGCTGAGGAGGAGGAGGGACATCATGGCAGATGCCAAGGAGAGATTGGGATGGACTGCAGATTGTTTGCCCGCAGCCTCAGGTCTTAACCAGGCAAGCAACCCTTCTTTCCTCCTCGTTTTGAGCTTTAAATAGACCTTTCTTGAGTTTTTCTCTGGTCAATCCTTTGAGATGGTAAAGGGTTTAAAACTGGTCTCAAAATTTTCTCCTCAGGAAATTCTCCTCAGAGAATGGAGGCTCATGGGCGAGAAAGAGGACAGCCTCCTCGAACCATTCTCATTATCTTATTTATCCCCTCTTTTTGATATTTTTAGTGACAAGGCCGGTGTTAGTCAGCTTTGTTTTTTTCTTATCATCAGAACTAAACAGCACCTCCATCAATTTTTTTCTGGCTTTGTTTGAGGAATACAGTTAATCCCTGTGATATTTTTACATTTAGAAGAGTGACTAACAAACAGAAGTGTTTTAAGTCGATAAGCCTACTGAAATACTTTTTGTTTGGCACTTTTCTAAATGTGTGCGTGTGTATACATCTCTCTTACAAAGGTGTGCATGCATGTGTATATAATAAATAAATAAACACACACACACACACACACACACACACACCATGCCAATATATAAACATTTTAGTGATTAATATCTGCATAAAACATATAAAATATGTTTTTTTCTTATTTTGTTGGTCAGTCTGGCCTGTGTATACATACTGTATGTATGTGAATATTTGTGTGAATATTTAGTAGACTCTTGATGACAAGCCATGGCAAGACAAAAACCCAATCCATTTTTAAAGGGGAAATGGGTGCATCTTCTCCTCAAAATTAATGGTCTGAGGTTGATGAAGATGATTGAGAAGGAAGAAGAGGATGTGCTGAGCACAGCTTGTCCTCATATTATTTCCCACACCTTAAAACAATAAATGCAAGAGCTGAACTGCACCTAAATATTCCCTCTTAGAGCAGCTAGTTGTTCATCTGGGGCAGGGTGTGTGTGGAATGGCATTTTGCATGTGCTCAGAGGCACTATGCCATTGAGGCCTGAGGCTTATGCAGCCCTCATGAGACCTTGTACAAATTAAGCTCTGTCTACTGATGCAAAGACAGTGAGGATGGGATAATACATATGTGCATAACCCCCCCCCCCAAATCTGTTTTTTTAAATGAATGCCACCAGCTTGTCTAGATAGAAGTCTCGCTCTGTGCCTTCAAAACTTGTGCCCTGTCCATAATCTTTATGTGTTTCTTTGTTGCTTCTGTATTCATGGTCAAAGCAAAGTTCCGAGAAGTTCTTTTTTTTTGGACTAGAACATCTTATAGTCACCAGGGATTCTGAGAGGTGTTGTGCCAAAAAAGAAAGAAAGAAAGAAAGAAAGAAAGAAATTTCCCAAGTTCTGCATTGAAGACATTCTAGTTTTATGTTTTAGAACAGAGCTAACTGAAAATTTTATTTATTTATTTATTTTATTGTTATTCATTTATTTAACTTGCCACCCACACTATCCAAAGGTCTCTGGGCGGCTTACAATAATTAAAATACAATAAAAAGATAAGACAATTAAAATACAATTAAAATATATAAAATGGCTTCCAGTAAGGCTTCTCTGGAAGGGAATTCTGCCTAAATCAAAATCTAGATCATCCCCTAAGCCACCTTGGGTCCTTTCATGGAGAAAGCTGGGATATAAATGTTTTCAATCAACTGATCGTGATGACTGTAACTGACCGTAGCTACTAGAACAAAAAGAAATCATAGAACTCTGCCATTTAAAAACCAAACACAAGAAGAATATTTAAACAGCAAACATTTAAAAATAGCAGCAAGCATTAAAGCCAAGGCTTAAAATAGTGTTTTTCTAGACAAGAAAGTTTTAAAGTGCCACCTAGCCAAACGGAGAAATAAATTTGAAAAAAGAGGACAGAAGTGGACATTGACTGGAATAGAGCCGCCTATGGTAATTGTTAAGTGCAGATGAAAAAACAGAAATTATTTTCGGTTTTAAGCATGTATCTCACTCCAGTCGGGAAGAGAGAGAAGGAAGGCTTGCATGCCTGTTCACGCTGCAGTCCAGGGGCTATTTGCTTCTGATAACGGACACCCTCAAGTCTCTTTGTTTGCCTCCTTCTCATGTCCTTCAATTAGACCTAGACCAAGCAGCTTTTCAAACAGAAAACACATTCAAAGGAGAACTTGCCCTCAAATAGAGGACTGTTCTCCTTAAAAGAGGATACACACTCAGACCATAGAATTGCATGGACGAAAAGATGCATGCGTGGAAGCAGCAGCAAAGCCTGTCGCTTCCACACTTCAAAGAGAAGAGCTTAATCATTGTGTATTGTCTTCAGACACTTTGTAGTGACTAATCAGGGTAACTCTTGCCAGGATGATTATGTAATCGGCACATTGCAAGTCTATTACTAATGTTAGCAATGGAGGTGTTGTCTCTCTATTGTGTTTCATTCTCTCCTCTCACCTCTATAAGCATGTACAGTACATTGCATATAAACCTGAGGAGCTAAATATGATATTTGTAAGCCGCCCCGAGTAGACGTTGTCTAGGAGGGTGGGGTAGAAATCAAATAAATAAATAAATAAACAAATAAACAAACAAACAAACATTGTACTTGGAGAAGTGGTTTGTAATCAACAAAAGCTCACAGTGAAGCAGATTTGTTAGTCTTCTAGGTGGCTTTTTATGTTTGTTCTACTACAATATGGTCATTCTCACTCCTTGAGAGGTAGCCAGTCAACCTGTACACTCATTTTCTTCATAAGCACCCTTATGGTATTGAATTTCACAAATTGGACTGGAGTACTCTGTTGAATCATAAATGACTTGCCAGACAGGTATTTATGGTTCGGTCCACGGGTGTGGAACTCCTTCATACTTTTTGTCTGATGAAAACACAAGTGGTTGACTCTGAAAATGGCATAAGTAAATTCAATGTGTCTCTGATATACCCCTCAGTAAAGTTTTTAAAATACCTAAATTTGGAAAGACAAGCTTTGTTTTCATCTAATAAATACAACTTTAAAAAAATATGTTATACCACAGCTCTATAGAATAACTTTTGGTATGTCTCACAAATCAACCTCTTCTTCCACCCTGAATTTTGATATTCAGAATTTTAAAACCTGGCTATAGAATCATGATGAAAGAGAAACTAAGGGGATGACTACACTGATCAGCAATAGGAGATCTTATCTGGGATTGGAACAGTCAGATTCCTATTGTATTTTCTGTTGACTACATGTTGTACAAGTCAACCTGAATCAGTCCAGAGGTTTTCTAGCAGATAGTTAGATATCGTAGCCTGTTTATATTTTACTAAATGAATCTAGTACATAAAAAGAGTACGCTTGAAAGGTATAGGACCGCCTCATGAAGCAAAATGTAAACATTACAAAACATAAATATATGGGGAAAACTTTTTTTCCTAATTAAAAACATACAATATCATCCAATAAGCTCTCTCTGTCAGTGAGGAGTTTTGCTGAGCCTGTTGCTTTTAAATAATGTATTTTTAAAAAATCTCTCCAGATCTTCTCACTGCGTAAATTCAAAGCATAATTCATGTTTGCTGTTCTCTGCTTTTTCTAATTTCCTGCCTTTTTATTGTGAACGTGTGACAGAAAGACGAAAAGAAACATCCCCTCCCTGGAAATATTTCAGTGTTCGGAGTTATTAATTTTTCTGAGGTCATTATAGGGATGGGGTGCATAATATCTCGGTCGCAAGAGGTGATACCTGTCTCTAGTTTTTCTCTCTCTCTGAAGGCATTGGTACAGGTGACCAGTTCACCACATGTGGGCACATGAGAAGCGTTGTGCAGCTTCACGCCTAATAACATCACGCAGTTTGGGCCAGAAGGTTAATCCTGTTTTAGTTCAGCTGCAAGATTAGGATTTGAGGAATGGGGGCCGGTTTATGGAGGTGCTGGAGTGTGAGCAGAGCAGTGGTTTGGCTAATACCAGCCAAGGCTGATGGGGCAGGGTGAATTTTGGCCAAAGCCGTTGTCTCCTGCCATGACCTAGGTGTGTGTTTTGAGGGAAGGAAGGAAATCTGACCTTTTTCTTTCAGCACATAAATGGACAATTGCCTCAAAAGACAATGTGTTGCTACGGTAACATGGGAATCGTTATCAGATTATCAAATGAGATAAATCATTCTGATTAAATTTCCCCGAAAGGACCTGAAATAATGTTGTACAAGTCTTAGAAATTCTAGCAACTGCATGCCTTTCCAGAGAAGGCAGGGTGGGTCTTATAAAGATGATGATGGCTACCGGGAGGCACATTGCTCATTACAGGCAGCAACATTATTTTTAGTAACACAATGGCAGCCAATGGAGGATAGACACGTGGACGTATTCTGTTTAGTCAGCTTTCTGTAGCCATCGTGGTATAATGTTTGCCAAACAAAATTTTGGGGAAAGTTACATTTTTGGATTGCAACTTTCAGATCCTTCAGCTGACATGGCTAGGAGTCATGTTGATCAGGGGATTAGTAATCTTTAAAAAATAAATTTCCAAACTCTTTTTTTTCCAAAATAATGAACCAGGCTTTCAAATGTTATAAAACTGAGATTTAAAAAATTGGGAATGTTTGTGGTCTGAGGGTTGTTGTAGGTTTTTTGGGCTGTTTTGGCCGTGTTCTGAAGAACATGGACAAATAGCCTGAAAAACCTACAACCACCATTGGATCCTGGCCGTGAAATCCTTCGAGAATACATTGGTGGTCTTATGTTTGCTGTTGGCTCACAGCCAGGGGTGGCAACTAGGTACCCTATTCTGATAGTTTTCTTTTCTTTCCTTCCCAGTTTTATTCTCCTGTCCTCTTCTCCTGAGTGGTTGCGTTGTGAACCTTAACCAAGCATCACCAAGGAAATGGACCTCCTCCAACCGAAGACTTTTGGGCCCGACCCTTGAGGAACTAAAGGCTCTCTGAGCAGTGCCTTCTCCCTATTTCCCCCTCCCTTTCCCCCCACCACCTTACCATTCCTTGCATCCACACAACACCATGATCCTCGCCTGGTTTGGCTTCCACAGTTTCCTGCTCCGTCTCTCCAACCATCCCAGGTGGGGTCGTTGTGACACGGGTCTTTGCCAACAACACTTTCTCCTCTGGCTTTTGCTCCTTTGTTTGCCCTGCTGTGTCCAGCCAAGTACTTTTAAGGTGGGCGTGATGGGCCCCTGGACCTGTGACTCCATCTACGCCAGCGCCTACCCTGACACAGCGGCCCAGTTGGCCGTTTCTCGCATCAACAAAGACCCAACGATCAACCAGGGCTACTGGTTTGATTACGTCCTCCTCAACGAAGACTGCCAGACGTCGAAGGCCCTGGTGGGCTTCGTCAACTCCGAACGTTACGCCTCTGGGTTTGTAGGCCCCGTCAACCCCGCTACCTGCGAGGCGGCCGGGTTGTTGGGAAAAGCCTGGAACAAGCCGATCTTCTCCTGGGCTTGCTTGACCGATGACGCGGAGGTGGAGCGTTTCGGCACCTTTGCCCGCCCGTTGCCGCAGGCCTCCGCGGTGCTCTATACCGTGCTCAAGTACTTCCGGTGGGCGCACGTTGCCGTGATCACCTCTGAGCAGGACTTCTGGGTGGAAGCCGGCCAAGGATTGGCGGAGTCGTTGCGCAACTTTGGCCTCCCTGTCACTGTAGTGACCACCATGGAAAATGAACCTGATGGGGCACGGGATGCCCTCCGTAGGATACAGAGAACTTATGATGTACGAGGTATGGCAGGGAGGGTAACCTGTGTAGAATATTAACCCTTTTAAAAAGGGGTACTATTTAAAAGATTATATTTAGGTTCCTTAGGTTCCTTCAGAGATGGGAAATTTCTGGTGGTGGTTGTTGTTGTTTACTGCAACTCACAGGATCCCAATGCTGGCTGTAGGACTGTGTTCCCTGTCTGTAGATCCTGTTGACAGAACGTGAGATAATTAAGAGGATGGTTTTTACACTTTGCAATGCTGGATGCTAGCCGCACGTGAATCAAGTTGTAATGGTTTGACAGGAGTCACATGGCACAAGGAATGTATTGCCTCATTGGTTGAGGTGGTTCTCAAAAGCCTTGCTAAGTTCAAAGAAGCTGTTTGATAGCAAGCCAGGTCATGGAGCTATCTAGCTTTGCATCATCATGACTGCGCCAGCCTTCCTTAACCTGATGCTGTCCAGATGGGTTAGTTTCCAGTTTCCCATATTAGTTGACCACGGTGTCTGGGCGTGATGGGGGCTGTCATCAGATACACCTCAAAAACAGGTTAAGGAAGGCTTCAGGGAGCAGCAGCTCTCCAGCAAAGGAGTCTTTCCCAGTGACATCTGGTATCAGTTACTGTGAGCGAAGCAGAAATTTCAGGGGCTGAGGCTTGTGGACAAAGCAGGGGCAAAAGTGAGTACCGTATTTTTCAGTGTATAAGACTATACTTTTGTCTAAAATTAAAAAGATTAAAAATTAGATTAAAAATTGAGGGTCATCTTATACACGGAAGTAAGCTGAGGAGAGAACAAAAACAAGTGGAGGGGAAAGCAGAGATCAAAGCGATTCTGCAGCACTTTGATCCCTTTCCCCCTACACTTGCTAAGCCCCACTTAGATTTCTTAATTTTGGATTAGAAAAGTGGGGGGCGTCTTGTACATGGGGGCATCTTATACACTGAAAAAATACAGTATTCACAGAGAGACACACAGAGACGTAAACAAGGACAGACACATATAAACAGCAGGAGGGGAACACCGGAGGGTGGTGGTTGATCCTCTTTCTCTAGTAAGGAAGCAGGCAGGCATGGGCTAACTGGGGGTGGGTGGGGTGGCCTTAGCCCAATTCGAGGCAGCAGCAACCCATTCGTCATAGCCAACTGGCTCCAGTTGTTCTCAAACCAGCTTGAAAATGCTAGAGAATTAGACAGGGATATTTCCGTGTGAAAAGTACAGGTTCTGCCATAGGGCAATGCTTTTTTCTCCTTCCTTAGCGGTTAATAATGTGTAGCTTATGCTCTATTAAATGATATAGGGCACAGCTAAGGATTCTAGAACAATCTGATCAACTGCATGGGGAAAGATGTCTTTAGCCTATTGGAACCAGTTGATTAGATCAGATCAGCCAGAGTGAACAGCAAAAGGAAGAGTAGGAGATGTTCTGATGAGTTTGAATGGAAATATACGGGAGAGAGGATAGTTTGAGCTGATTGCAAAATAAATCAGTATTTGAGTGAAAAGGCATGCAATCATACATATACAGTATTGTGTGGGTGTGTTAGGTGACATCAAGCTAAAACCTAGTCCAACAGTCCACCCACTACATTCATGCTGCGTCTCCTTTTTGCTTTGCTGTAATGGGGGCTGGGTTTTGATGGCTGATCCAGCTGTGGAGCCAGATGTTGAGGGTTAATTTCCCCACTGGACCTCCTCTGAGTAGTGCCATTCTGTGTGACTTTGGGCAAGCTGCACAATCCCAGGGTGCTCCCAGAAGAAGGGAATGGAAATCACTTCTACCTGGAAACTCTGGAAAGGGTTGCCATAAGTCAG